ACCTGGGCACACTGCTGGCTCATATTCAGCAGGCTGTCATCCAGTACCCCCAGGTCCTTTTCTGCCAGGCAGCTTTCCAGCCACTCTTCCCCAAGCCTGTAGCGTTGCATGGGGTTGTTGTGACCAAAGTGCAGGACCCGGCACTTGGCCTTGTTGAGCCTCATACAGTTGGCCTTGGCCCATTGATCCAGCCTGTCCAGGTCCCTCTGCAGAGCCTTCCGCCCCTCAAGCAGATTGACACTCCCACCCAGTTTAGCATCATCTGCAAACTTTCTGAGGATGCACTCAATCCCCTAATCCAGATAATTGATAAAGATATTAAACAGAACTGGGCTCAAAACTGAGCCCTGGGGGGCACCTGGGGAACATCTCAGCCACCTTCCTGGCTTCATGTCCCAATGATGAGGCCCTTTCTGTGAGGCTGTGCATTTGCAGGCCACCTGGGTGAAAAAGGCTCGCAACAGTTCAGCTTCTGCAGCATGCTTATTTAAGCCAAGTAATATTTATGAAGATTTTCCTTTAAAAAAAATAAATGTCCTGTGGCCTGAGGGAAAGCAATAAATGCTCTAAATTATATTCTCAATCCAGAGTTAATCTGGATGACTGCACAAGAGAGTAAAGAAGGGATGAAACAAGAGCTTCAGTTTATAAAGAAGCAGTTTTCCCTCCAGCTGCCTGGCAATCTGTGTAGGGGAGCACAGAACCTAAGACACCTCTGAGTCTGAAAAGGTAAAGAGTAAAAATTGCTATTATTTCTAGAATTTTAAAATATTTTCTTTAAGGAAAAACCCTAAGGAACAGAAAAGACAAGAAAGATCCCGGGTAGCCGTCTTGATAAGATACATTTCCCAGAGACAAACCAATGGAAGCCCTGCCAAATCAGGATCCTTAGTGCATGGTTATGTGTAAAGTCCTTCTCCTTTCCCCCTCAAACCTATGCTGCATGCAAGATTTATTTTATTCTTGTCGTGGAAAATAGTTCCATGGCTGTTTCACATTTTAGGAGTAAAGGCCAAACTGTTTAAGTACAGTTGCACCCATTTTAAGTTTCAGTATATCTGCACGCAGAGTTGTAACTCTTAACACACAACATAAATGTCATACAGAGGCATCATATCTCCCACTATATTTTTTGTGTTTCTAACATGAGGAAGCCAGAACTGGGGTAAGCTAGAATGCTCATCAATATCCAGCTTCTGATTTCCCTTTCCTCATTCATTAAGAAAGCTGTGGAAGACTCTGAGAAGAGCTGAAGAGCTCACAGCTGCTGCTCTCCCACCCCAGCCAAGATATCCACAAAACCACAATTATCCTTCTCCTTCCCACCTCCCATCGCTCTCTGCCTGCAGAGAAGAAGGGAGTGTTTGGTAGCAGCTCTGACTTTGTGATGGCAACAGGATGCAATTTGGGCTTCAGTGCTCCTGAGTCTTTTATAGCTGAACCTTACCATTAAAATTAGTGCCTCCAAACAGGAATTTTCTTCTACTCTACTCAAGAGCTCATTAGTGCGTTAATAGTGCAGTGGAGGTCGCAGGTTTTTTTGCCCGTCTAGATGCACTGATAGGAAACCTGTTCTTGTCTACAGATACCTTAAAAATGAGACTATAAATGTATTTGATAGAAGCTCTAGCGCTGATGGAAGGTGGACTTCTTTAAAACATTTGATATTGTAGGATACTTTGATTGCAAGGTAGCTTCAATCAGAATCAGCATGGCCTACATTGAGAAGATAACCAACTAAATAGACAATATGTGTCAAAATATAATTTGGAAGCAGGAGAACATTGGCAATGGAGTATCGTCACTGAGCAGATGTATTTCTAGGAGGAATCCAGTTTTGCTCCCATGTTATTTGATGTTATTTATCAATAAACCCATAGGAAACATAAGCATTACTATAATTTTAACACATATAAAATATTTATATTGCTATATTGATAACAAACTCCCCATCCAAAGGAGAAGTGTAAGAAGATGTAGCAATTGTGTGCTGAAGATAAAGAAATTTGGACTGCAACTGAGACACAGACTTTCAACGATGAGGACAGCTAAATAGCTGGCAGATCACCTAATCAGAATATCTGTCAGTTGAATTCTAATAGTGTGTAATTAATTCCCGCGTAATTGGATGTTCAGGAGATGTAGATAAGCACTCAAGAATGAAGGATGGGAAAATCTGAGGCACAGGATGGTCTTTAGTTTCATGATGATGGACTGTCAGGTCAGTGCCTTCACAGCTGTCATGTTGGGTACAGTGGATCTGTTTCAAGAGCGAGCAAGGAGATCTCCATTTCTCTGTCCTACCTTTTCCACAGTGTTTTTCACCATTTTTAAACACAATTGCTCCTCCACATCCATTCTGGTGACACATGAAACTACCAGGAATAGTCGCTGGAGATGGTGCAGGAACAAGTCGAGCACACATGGGAATGTTCGAAAAGCCAGTTGCTAAATGTGCTGCAGATGTTGCTCATTTGGAATACTGGTAGCTGTTCTGCTCACAATTATTTCCAAAAATACACTAAATGCTGACGTGAATAGCAAATTCTTTGCTTAATCAATACTTTCACTTTGGAATAGTTTTGTTCTATGTTAGACAATTTAGAAAGGAAAGAAAAAGCATCTGCAAATAGAAGCTAGAATATCTCTAACAAAAAACGAAGATCCAAAATGAGGAAGGGTAGTTTCCATTCTCCACTGAACGGCATTTTACAAAACAGGTAGAGTTCAATATTTCTTCACAGAACCTTGTCCTGAGTCTGGCATGCTTGTGGGAAAAGCAAAACAAGAACACTACACAGGATATCATACATTGCAAATACTCCAGGAATTATGAATGGGAAAAAAAAAAATCTATCAGTGTAGATGTTGTTGCCTCATAGATTGTTTTTTTCTCTTCCCTGACTTTCATTATTCCAAAATAAGTTTGTTTATAAACTAACAAACTTACAAACTGTGCTTAAAAATTCAGAGATAATGGTTTTACAGATACCACATTAATTTAAAACAACATTGTGACTTTTGCTTAAATAAATACTAAGGGCTTCAAACATTGACCCTTCTTTTGAGAAATTGAGTTAAGTGGTGAAGTATCTGGGCAAGTTTCTTCTTGTTAAAGAGGGATTTAAAAACAAAAACAGATGCAGATAAACACTTGAATTTCAGGATCAGAAATCAAGCTTTTGTTTAAAAAATATTTAATGACAAACCACATCAGCTTGAGAAGCGTGTGGTTTTGAACTGCATATCAGTCACCTTCACGAAACAACAAAAAAACCAACCCCAACCCTTGAGAATTGTGATCAGACAGATATCCTAGACATGGAAGAGATGCAGGCTGGATCCTCTCTATGCAGATTTCCACAGCCTTCACATCCCCGTTGTACAGCAAAGAAAAGTATTTTCCTTTTCTGTCTCTTCATCCCACATGCTCCTCCAAGTTCAGAGTTGAGCCTGAAGGTGGAAGGTGTCGCCCTGCAGCATAATCCCTGTAACAGGGGAATGAAGCTGTGAGGCTGTGGCAGACTCGGTACTGCTGATCTCCAAGTCACCATCTACGCAAAGCGTCATTTCTCTGCCAAACACCCCTGATGCCAGCTGGCTTCCGTGGGGTCCACAAGCACTCAGCTCGTCAGAAAGACATACCAAAAAGTATCAGAATTAGCCAATTACAAAATTCGCTGCTACTGTTATGGCTGTGGCTTCTTATAATTGGCTTCAAGACAGGTAAAGTTTCTGATGCTGCAGTGCTCCTGACAATGTATGTGAGGCTGAGCAGGTAGCACCGAGGTAAAGCACCACCCGTGCTCTCAGCAGGGATGCTGTGGCAGTCCCAGACTGGAATTTGCGCTGGGGCTGTGCTCTGCGAACAGCAGCAGCGTGTCTCTGTGCTTCCCAAGAAGAGGAGAAAAATGGCTGCATGGAAGAAACTTCCGCATTACAGACATTCCAGCTGTTCCTTTGAGCCACAGCCATAACTCTCTCCAGATGTAACCCTTCACTTCTCCCTCTTTACAAGTTTATTTTCCTTGTAAGGAAGAAAAACATGGAAAAGATTTTTGGTGGGTGTAAACCAAACTGAGAAGTACTGAATGTAAAGAATGAAGAAGGTTTTATACAACATGCAACTGCAGCCAGTGAGCCGAGTCACACACACAAAGCCATGGAAGTGCTAATCCCCATCAGATGCCTCTGTAGGTGAAATTCATCTTCTTGCCTAACATTGCATGGGAGAGGAGTATGCGTGTGCTGGTGCATACACAGGAAAAGGAGTCTCTGCATCAATTTATGGCTTGAGCAAGGAGCTCAGTGGCCTCTTTAGCTCCTGCTGCAAACTCTGAGACAGATCGAAGTCTGAAGGTGCTGCACACATCCTGCCTGGGAGGTCACAGCAAACATGTACGTGCAAGGCTGTGGCAGCTCCACAGCTCTCATGCTTCTCTGTAGGTGCTGTCTGGAGCAAGGAGAAGGTACACAGTGAAAACACTCCATTTTCACACTTCTTAAGTGTTCTTCTGGTAGGAGTATAGTGATAATTTTGGATTTCAATTTAAGTTTTGGGCAAAGGCACATGCTTTCTAGTCTTTGTATGCAGGAGAACAAGTCTACTGGATGGAGGGATCACAGCAACAGTCTCAGATAGTGTTTTACCACTCCATTTTATGACACTGCTGATGTATTGTTGTGCTGGTAATGAAGGAAAAAACTTTGGGTTTATTTTCTCTGAACCCAGGGGTAAGGCACAGCTTGTCAAGGGACCTTCAGACAGATATCTAGCTTTTCCTGAGGTTGCAGGCAAGTCGACAAGCCTATCATATTTGTAAATGTGAAAACAAACCCCATGGAAATGAAATAGCCAAACCAAGTCATTTCTGCTGCCATCAACATTGGGCGTCACCTAGGTGTCACCAAATGTGACATCATACCATTGACTTTTTCTTCAGCCAGGACCCCTCCTGAGGCTGTCATTTCTCAGAGTGGGCCTGATGTCCAGAGCTCACCTCTGCCTTTGGGCTGCTGCTCCTTCACCCTTTTGGTAAAACGAGCCCCAAAAGGAAGCTTTAGAAGATGCGGACACACTAAGTTTAATTCTCTTGTCCAGGAATAGTTGCCACTAAGACAACAGCATAAGAACAGAAAACATGAAAATCTTTACTCATCGATGACATCAAACTTCATTTGTGAGAAGGCCCAGGAATAGAAGTAAAGACACGGGAGCAAGTGAAGACCTTCTGCTGAGGTGTGATGGGCACTTGAACCACCACCACAAAATGTCTCAGTGTGGAGCCTGCCGTTTCGGTAGGTGAGATACAGTAGTTCTTTTCCAAGGACAGTCTGAACTATTGATTCAATAATTCACATTTGAAAGAAAAATCTACATACACAGATGCAATAGGCAGGGATTATTCCATATTTTATGTCAACACATAGATATCCTACAGAGTATTGTTTGTCTTTCTGCCTCCCC